CTTCCTTTTGTGCCAGGAAAATGCCAGGCTGGTGGTGCAGTGTGTGGTTGCCGTGGCCCCAACCCAGCACTCAAAAGGGTGGCGTTAAGCTGTCCCTTTACGGCCATCTGTTTCGTCTCTCAGTTTGCACCAGTAAGCTGAGGACTAAGAGAAAATGAAAGAGAAGGAGAGAGAAACTGGGACATTTTAAAAGCAGCTGAAAAAGTGGGAAACAGAGAATTAATTAGACTGTTCCTGCTAAATAGGAACAGTTGGGGAATAAGTTCATGTGTGTAAATGAGGCTAATGTTCTCTCTCTCTTTAAAAACAATTTGGAAATATCCTTTTAATTTACCCACCAAAATGGTGTATGGAGAAGATGTACTGAGATTCAGGGAAAGACATGGTTGTATGGGTTGTAAAGCTAACAAGCCTCCTTTGCCCATTTAAGACCCAACCACTTCAAACTACTTTGCATTCCGAAAGTGACAACTGATAACAAAATATTGCTGCTAGGAAAAGCCCCCCTCTGTTCCTTTATTCTGAAGATTTCAGCTAAATTCAGAAGAAGACTTCAGAGCTGAATGGTGGCCACAGCAGCCAACCATGCTCTCACCACTGCTAAGCAAAGAGTCCTGGCATCTTGATCTTGCAAGCATGGTTCACTATAATACGATTTGTACCAGAATTAAACCTAGCTCTCCCCAGCTCACATCCGTATAGAAATGCAGGCAAATTAGGATTCACTCAGTATATCCATCTCTCTCTCTCTCTCTCTCTCGGCGATTGTGTCATTATTGTAGGCTATGTCCCCTTGTCTTCTGAATGTATTTTCCATATGGATTGGCCAGGAGACTGAATGCAGATTCAGCAATCTTTTGCTCATTAAGATCCAGTGCAGTTTCTACTTTTTTTAAAAAAATTGTCACATACAGATTTGTTTGATTCAATGTTCATTCATTGCTTAAGATGAAGAAGAAACTTTTTTAAAAAAAGTACTAGCATATTTGGGAGGAGTGTCGTTCAGTTAGTAATACACCATTATTAGCCAATCAACCCCATGAACCTCTATCTTCACAGAAATCCACATCCGCAATGCTCTTGTTGGGAGTTAAGAGCTGTGCTCTTATCTGAAATTGGCATTCCATTAGTAGAAATAATGTTGAAGAAATGGGGACTTCGATCTACACTTTGCATAAGGGTGGAGGTTGATGATTCAATATGATGTCTAGTTGCACCATTGGTAGCTTTTTTGGTTGCCCAATCAGTGGTGTGCCTTGAGGGACCACAAGACAGCT